TTTGTTTACAGAATCTTCTCAGACTGCCGGCTAGTTCCCAGGACCAGGAATTCACTATCTCCTGGAATGTTAGGGGTGCGTCAGCTTTCGCCTCTTATCTCCAGTGCGTTGCTCTGGAGACAAGATCACGTTCTTTACCCCCCTTCCAGTCCCATGCCACTCCATCACAACTAGGTTCACTAACCTTGCTTTCTAATCACTGTAGGAAATTGCTTATCTAACCATCTTAAAGCTATTAGCGTTCTTCAGAAAAGCCACCTGGGAGTCTATCTTCATTTCTGAACAAAAGAAAAATTAATTGTTAGTTTAAGAAAAATAATTTGAAATAAATGGCAAAAAGCTAACTAAGATTTTGAACTAAGAAAGTTATAATTAAGGGTTAATTATATTGGAATTAAGGGTCCAGATAAATTTGGAACACTGAAACTTTTACTGTAAGATTTTGGAACTGACTATATAAAATAAACAGCTTTCTGTGGGAAGCAAAATTATTCTGTCTGTTGTAAATCATAACAGAGATTAGAAACTTTATGATTTAAATTGGACACTACAGGGGACTGAAGATTCCAGGCAAAAAGGGGCAAAAAAGTGTAAACCTGCTTTTGGATTTGATCAGTATTAGGATTTATAAAATGACACAAAATACTATGCCATTTGAAATATTAAAGGAGATCTTCAAAGAATGGGGCCAGAAATTAGTAGCTACAATATCAGCAATATCAGTAATGATGTCTGGTTCTATGGATGGGCTATGTTCAAAAGATATTAATGAAGGAATGACAGATGTGGAACAAATCTTGCTTGATGCAGAAATAGTAGAATCAGAAATATTGGGTTTTCAAAAAGTGTGGATTACAAGACAGAGAAGGTATTTAAAGTGGAAATACAAGTGATGGGCCAAGAGAATGACCTGGATAATGACTTTTTACTGGATTTACAAAAGAGGTTTGCTAAAGCCTCGAAGAAGCCTTTGGGATGGGAAAAAGAGAGACCAAATCCTATGAAAACATCTGAATGAAATAAAGATCAAGGTTGTCAGAAGTAAAAGGAAGGAATATAAAATAGGTTTATTTGATCAACGTTAAAATAAGACATCTTTTTATAAAGTTCTGGCAACCCTTTACAGACTTTTTGCTGACCCCAAGATTGAAAAGCTGAAGTCTTATGGATTTGATTACAGATAAGGGATGGGTTATGGGAAGAAGATATACTGTATCTATTTGTAAATAGGGGGTGTACTGTATGTATTTGTATAGGGGGTGAAGAACTACCAACTTGTTTATACTTGTGATGAAGATTGGAAGTAACTTCTTTATATATTTCTTTTCTTTGTCTTTATCTCACATTTCCTTTTTTTCCTTTTTTTCCTTTTTTTCCTTTTTTCCCTTTTTCCTTTTGTTTCCTTTTTCTTTCTTTGCACTTTTCTCTTTTTTTTACTTTCCTTTCTTTCTCTGAGTTTAATTTGTATTAGTTTTTATTATTGTAATTAAAATCTTCAGTAAAAATTATATATTAAAAAAAAAGAAAAGGGCTTGTTAACCAAAGAGCAATCTGGATTTAGACCTGGCCTCTCTACTATAGATAACTGTTTCATTTTATGTCACGTAGTAGAAAAATATACAGCTAAAGGGAGCAAATTGTTCACAACTTTAATAGACCTCAGTGCAGCATTCAGCTGAAGACATTTCTTCAGAAGAAACTTATAAACATAGAACCCAGACTCCTCTCTTTAACTAAGACATTTTATTCAAACTCATACTTAAGGGTACATACAGGAGCGCATGATTCCCTAACAGGGATAATTAACACAATAAAGGGGTCAGACAATATATACTGGATCCCATTTTGTTCAGTCTGTACATTAATGATATCCCAAAGTTCCTTCAATCAATTGACATGCATATACCTAAAGTTAAAAATAAACTTGTAAACATTCTGCTTTATGCAGATGACATGGCATTGATGTCGTACACCCAGGTAAGGATGAGAAGATTGCTGCACAGGTTCAGTTCATACTGTGTACTCAACTGTCTGAACATTAATAAGTCCAAGACCAAGGTACAGTGGTACCTCGGGATACGAACTTAATCTGTTCTGTGACTCTGGGCGTATCCCGAGTT